GAGTTGAATCACTTCATAAACCCTGTTCTCACTTTCCTTGTCCAGCAATGGAATAGAGAGCAGTTATACTAAATCACACATCCACAAAGAGTGGGAGATGGAAGACAGAGGACAATAGTGAGAATGGGACCTATTCAGTCAATGCTCAGGAAATCTCTCTTTATACTCAATTCTCATCTGCTCGTTATGGAGCTGCCTTCCAATGACCAGCAAAGACACAGGTTCCCTCACCTGCTCCACTTCTTCATGTGCGTCCTTCACAAGATCCACACTCTTTGTCAGCATTAAAAGGGCTGCAGCTTTGTTATCTATGAGTGAAAAATCAGAAGCACTACAATTAGAGGAGAAATTCAACAATCCTCTCAAGAATACAAAGGGCAACCACATTGTTCCTATTGAAGGAAGTGCCAAGGATGGTTGACAAAGGTGTTGGTTTAATGTAAAATTCTTCTCAGTACATCTGGTACCCAGATGGGGGGTTAGAAAGCTTTTCTTTATTCACCACAAGAAGAAATAAATGGTCACATGATGTTTCTCATCACAGCCCTCTTGGACAACCACTGCTTTTGGCCTAGCTGCTCTACCTCATAACTGCTTCAGTGTGCCCCATAAAAATGTTCTTGGGACAGGACTAGAAAAACTGTATTTGTTCAACACAAAACAGAGCTACAACAAGAGGGGAGTTTGAATTTAGAAGTATGAGAACTAGAAAATGGCAAAAAGTATTAATACCTATTATTAATGTTGGTAATAAACTATTAATATATATATTTCACTAAACTCTTTATATAAATTAAAATACATATATGTTACAAAGCTGGAAGCTAGACAAGAGAGGTCTCTCTGTTTGGGACCACTTCCCACTCTCACCCACCTCTTGGTATCCGAGGCACCTGCTGGCACGCAACCCAGACACTGTTGCAGGAAATAAGGTCATTGTTCTCAGGGCTGGGGAAAGGAATCAATGAAGATGTATCAATAACCTAAGTTCCTGTCTCCTAAAAAGTGCCTTCCTCCTGGTCATTATTTTCAGCTTTCAGTCACTTTGCTACTAAAATGAATTTTCCTTCCATGAGGCAAGAAGCTCCATTAACTGACAACTCAAACTGTGGCATCACTACCTCTGAGCTGGGTTGACGAAAAGTACTTCCAGGAGCTGAGCCATGCCATCCACAATGTCCAGAGTGGCGCCTCGTACCAGCTTTCTCAGGGTGATCCCTGTGGCCAAAAACCCAAAGGGTAAGCAGCCTGGTTTTCTTTCAGAAATCACCATCTATTTTCCTGAGTCTAAACACTAAAGAACCATCAAGTAATATGCACCCACATGCTTTAACTGAAATGCCAACACAAAACTCAGATCTTATTTATATCCCCATGTTGTCTGCTTGCCCTTCCCACCATTCCTTACTGCTGTCCTCCAAAAGATATCTGGAACAAAATCTTCTCATGACAGCATGTATTCATTTATTAAGGACAGTGATCCCTTGACAATCGTAGATGCAACATTTGAAGTTTAAACCATTTGTGAGTAACCCTGAAGATCCAGGACATGTATTCAGTTACAATTATGGCATGATTATAATCAAAGCATGAATCTACAGGCAGGGCTGGAGGCCACTTAACCTATTAGGGAGCTCAGAAATAGGGTGTGATGTAATATAGGTGAAGGAGGATGGCCTGGGCCTGTGTATGGGGGATGAGCTCTAGCTAGCATCTGTAGCAGTTAGAAAGGGCTGGAGAGGGAGGAGCCAGTGAGAATTAAAAACCTTAAGAGTCATGCAAGCCAGGGGAGATGGGAAGCCTAGAAACAAAGCATCTGTATCTTAGCATAATGGCTTATTTATGGAGGTCACTTACATTATAAAATTATCCTTGACCTATGGGGAGAAATTTACATGCTCAAGCTGGGGGAAGGTAAAAGTCTCAGGACATAACCCATCATATTAGCAAAGACGTATCCTATAAAAGCACCACTTATGTGTACATAGTAGCATATTTGCTTACCCTGATCCTTTGGAAGTGAATAGTATACTGCAATAATTGCCTTGATAGCAGCATGGACTTGTTCGCAGAACCTCTGGGTTTCCTATGAGGTGATGGACCAATTTCAGAATGAAAAAAGGAAATAGATTAGATCAATGTGGTCAACCCATCTACTGTGGAAGGAAGCAGACATCTCTACAACATCATGAACATTTTCTGACTCCTAGTATGAGTTAGGCCTTCTGCTATATTCATCATATACCAGGAAATAATGACCTTATTTCCTGCAACAGTGTCTGGGTTGTGTGCCAGCAGGTGCCTCGGATACCAAGAGGTGGGTGAGAGTGGGAAGTGGGCCAAAACAGAGAGACCTCTCTTGTCTAGCTTCCAGCTTTGTAACATGTATGTATTTTAATTTATATAAAGAGTTTAGTGGTAACATTGGGCTGACAACTCAATAAACTCAATAAACCATTAAGAAACAGCTGGAAAGACTTACTCCTGATACTTATCTTCCAAGATATTCTTGGTCTGCCATAAGGTATTCACCTTATCTTAGACCAGGAGTCGGCAAACTATGGCCTACAGGTCAAATCAGGCCTACTGTCCGTTTTTGTAAATAAAGTTATTGGGACATAGCCCTGCTCACTGGTTTACATATCATCTATAGTTATGTTCACACTACAAGAGCTGAGTTGGGTAACTGGCTTGCAAAACCTAAAATATATACTAACTGACCCTTTACAGAAAAAGTTTGCCAGCCTCTGTATTAGACCATTAACCAGGTCTCTCTTTTACGTAACATAACCACAATATTTAACTAAAGGTAAATAGCATGGACTCAACAATGCTCAGTGTTGACTATTTTCCTTCTAAGTTGTCACTGACTTTCTCAGGCTTTCTTATTTTCCTTATCCTCATTTCTCTGCTAAAGTCTAAGCCAGTGCTATGCAAAATGTAGTCCAGATTGGTGCCAGTTCACAAACTGTTACCAGTCTGGAATGAGGTAAGTACAGTGATTAAGTGTTTAGAAAATTTTATGGCAATTTGACATTGCCTTCACACATAATTTTATCAAATTATAAAATTTATCGGTCCATACAGATTGGAATTAAAAAAACCATCCTTTAGTAGGACTAAAGTGCTGCGATCCTAAGAAGGCAATTGTATATATTTGAATATATATTTTTAC